ATTGTCTGCCACGGGATAAGAATGACTCACAGTTCTATTTTTATGGTAAATCTTCCTTGCCTTTCTTCTCCCTTGCTACATGTTAGAAGTGTAATACCTGATGGACATTCCTGAGGAGAATGATAGGTATATTTTCCATCAGTAAAATTTGTAAAAACAACTTGGTCTGACTAGATAATTGGAAATCCTCCCCACCACTTACCAGAATGGATTTGACATTATTTCAAGCCTGAGGAAATAAAGCACATATTCATATTGCCCTATTTTCACTTGTTCAGCAAACTAATTTAGCATTTATGAAAACCAGTAAGTTGGCTTTAAATGCAGAAATTTTGTATTACAAATGTATATATACATTGTGTGTGTATGTGTGTGTGTAAGCATTTAAAGAGGGTGTCTGTGTGGAACTATAGTTACGTTTTTGATTGTGTTTATAGCATTATTACTGTTGGTGTTCAGGAAAATTCAATCAGAATTCATACAGCAGAGGATGAAACACAATCCTTAAATTACAATTGACTAATTGCTGTATAGATTCCTCAGATGGTACATGTGTGTGTGTATGTGTGTGTGTGTGTTTGTACCTCTACTAAAATAACTATTTCACCTAAATCAAAGGACTACATTCAGTTTGATTCACAGATAATAATGCTAACAAAAGCCTCCAAGTATAAGCCTAGGGTAGATTTCCAAATAATACATATAAAACTGTGATTCGGGGCTTTACTTTATTTTTAGAATTGAGGTCTGTATATAGAGACAGTCCTCACCGGGGGAGTTCTATTGATTAACTACCTAATCAGCTTCTTAGTGCCAGTTTCTATTATGAGACAATGATCTTGGTGCGTCTGTGGGTGTGGATCTGTGTGAGAGAGAAGAAACAGAGAGAAGGATGGTATTTACAGGGACCGGATCACTACAAGATGCTTAATTTGTCAGCAGTTGCTAATCAGAATGGGAAGTTGGTTGTTTTTCACAGTTAATTGCATCTGGGATATTGTTCCAGGGGTATCAGCGGGTGTCAGCGGGTAAATGTAAACAAGGTTTTGTGTGAGACTAAATAGCAATCCTCCAAATGCCTCTCAGAAGGGAAAGCTAGGTTGTAGAAGCACTGGTAAGGGTTAAAATTCTGTAGGAGTAATGAGCTATCAGTAATAAAGGACACTCTAGGTGTTCGGGTGCCAGAACTTCATTGAACGCCATTAGCATAATCCATTCCCCCCCCCAGTGGATTGCAGTCACCTTTTCTTCAGACTGAGAAACAAGATTCTAGGGATCCCTCTAGTTTCATACAGCAGATTGTGCGATCACATGGTAAGCAAAGGTTATAACGCGAGAGAGGATTTAGCGAAATAGTCCTCTGTCAGTTTTTAACCCTTGTGTTAGAACTGATCAGATATGAACAGAAGGGGAAAAAAACCCTGGAACAAAATCCTACATTCTTCTTCTTTATCACAGTAGATGTTCAAACTTGAAAGTTTGATCTTAAGAAAGCTCAGGTAGAAACCTCAGTCTTCCAGGCTTAACTCTTTGGATGGCCTTGACATTAAATTCGGTTCCACAGAAATGTGTTTAGGATGGAAGTTAAAATATACAAGTTCATTTCTACATTAAGGCGATTATTTCATCGTGCTCTTACTCAGTGAAAATCTGTGTCTCATGAGTTGCAGTCTACAAGTGCAACATGGGGTGCGTTCTGCTGTTATTAAAAATTCTCACCATCCTTAGCAAATGATCTTTCAGCCAATATCTTTCCCTGTGTCAATGAGCTCATTAATAATGAGACACTGCCGACTGCTAAGCTATGCTGCGTTAGCTCTTGCCAAAGCATGACATTTTTAATACATTAATAATATGTCTGAAATGTAATGGAAAACTATTAATCACACCCTGGACAGGTGCCAGAAATTTAAGCTGTAATTGGCTGTTTCTTGTCAAGCATGCCAGTTGCATGTTCTGATACTTGAATCACCTGCACAAAGGTCTCCACTTTTCTCTTGTCATCTTGTTGAATGAGATCAATGTTACACTCTTATAATTCTGTGTAATTACCATAATCATGACTTTTTACTTGCTTCAGCAGTAATTCATGATCTAGGGGGAAGACTGTATACTGGAGCATTTGCACCATTTGTTGCATTTTAGTGCAAATCTTCTGCCATCTTGAATGTTGCTTTCATTTATTTGCATTCCGATATGAGTCTCCAATTGTTTTACTGGAGGTTGTTGAAATATATGCTTCTTGGAAGTAAAGCTGTCTTGGATGGAATTGGACTTAATACCACCGTTAAATGGTACAGAAATATATAACTTCTTCGGAATTCATTAGATGCTGTCCTTGGCAATTTGTTAACATGTTGTACAAGTCAAGGAACTATTTGTTTCTATTTATAAATATTAATTTAAAATGCATGCTTTCAGACCAAGTAGTTATTTGAAATTAACCAAATCTTGTTTCTGAATGATCAGATAGTCACAGATGTAAGTTGGTGATCAGTAGGTAAGATAAAAAAATGTAAAAAAAAAAACAAAAACCAAAGGAAAAAAATATCTTGAAAAGGAGATATAAGAAATAGCTGAAGGGGATGACATGGTTTTTAAAAAGTACCTTTGAGCTCTTTAGAATCCTAAGTTTGCATCTAAGCTGGAGTGTGGTCTACCTCATTTCTGAAAGGAAGCTGAACTTTCTAACAGAACACTGGTTGGTGAAATAAATAGGAAACTCTATGTGTCCATAGGGCAATTATTGTAATTTGCTATGGAAACATTATACAGCTATCTGTTGGCATTGCATCAGAGCTATAGCTAGTTTCAGGTCCAAGACAGTGTTATATCTGAATAAAAGGAACCTCTTTACAAATTCGCTTTGCATTCCAGATTCTTTCTGCCTGAAAATAAGCATTTTTGGCATAAGCTATTATGTGCACAGGTCACCAAAATGCAGTGCTCTTCTTTTCATGTGATATCATAACTCATTTTTTTTAACTCATCAGATTATTGGATCCCAAATAGAAAAAAAATACTGGTTTTGGGAAACAGCACAAATGTTTCCAGATTTTTTTTTGCCATGCGTAGGAATTTAGTAAGAGATTAGTGTGATTCCTTAATAATAAAATTTTAATTAAGAATATAGCAATATGATTGCATACTTACTTTTCAGTGATTGTGTGGGAAGGGCTTATTACTAAATAATTATTAAGAGAATACTTAGTAAATATTGCATTCTTTTTAATACATCAAAGCAGTTAAAAAACCAGGATGCTGCAATACTTTTATGAAAGGTTTTTGTTAGAATTTGTTCTAGATTGAGGTAATCAAAATCTGTATACTCCAGTGTTCTGTAATTTCACAAATGGTTAAGATCTTTAAAATGTTTGTCATAATTTACATGGCATAGTTTTTAACTCAAGCAAATGTGCACAATTGCAGTTGCATACAGAAGCAGAGAGAGAGAGGGAGAGGGAGAGGGAGGAAGAGAGGGGAAAAAAACCCTGTAGACAGTTCTTTTATCACAACTTAATTAAAATCTGGTTAGAGAGGAAAGTGTTGAGGTTGGATTGAGCCTAAGGGCTGTCAAGTAGCCATTCCTTGAGTTTAAATGCCTTGCAAAGTTGACAGAGGTCAGTGTGAGAATTTCTTTGATGTGCCTTTTCTATCACTTAAATTATCGCCCAGCATTTTATGTCCCGCTCCAGCGAACACAGAGGGTAGATGAAGAAGATTGCTTTCTCCTGTGGAAATTGACACATAAAGGGACTTTAAAACAACAACAACAACAGCAGCAGCAAATCTATATAAGGAATTATTATTATTATCAGCTGCAAATGAGCCAACTGTTATCTTTGTCATTAAACACAATTAAACAAAAGCAGAGCTCTTCCAGTACTAATGAGAAAAAAAAAACCAAAGAGGCAGAAGTGGGCTCATCAGATCACTTATTAAGCTAACAAAAGCTGAGATGTGTAACAGATATTTTGAGCTCTCAGAGGTCTTCTTTTGAAGAGATGAAAAGCACGCAAGTTGTTGTCAGTTCTTTGTCATTGTAATAAAAGCTTTGACACCTTTGGTAGATTGGGGAATGTATCCCCTATTTGGCTATGAAATATGTGACTGGTTTGAGTACTGTTGTTGAGCTCAGGTTTGACAAGATGAAAATAATGTTCTTGAGATAGATGATAGATAGATAGATAGATAGATAGATAGATAGATAGATAGATAGATAGATAGATAGATAGATAGATAGATAGATAGATAGATAGATAGATAGATAGATAGATAGATAGATAGATAGATAGATAGATAGATAGATAGATAGATAGATGATAGATAAAAATGAGACCAGAGTTAAATTCTCATGTCAAAATAATTTTGGTGATGTGTGATTTAGACATTTGGTTTATTTTAGCAAAGCTCCTCCGGTAAAGGTTACCCTGTTTTTTCCAATATACTTTGTATTGAGCAAGGCCCTCAAAATGTCAGCATTTTCAAATATTTTCTATTGCATTGATCCTGGAATGGTAACTCTTACTTTCATTGTTTCTAAAAGGGTGCTGGTACCAGAAGAAAAGAATGACTGATGGCAAACAGACTGTAAACAAAATCATCATTTTGGTCCATCAGTTTGGCTGACTGTTCCTCATGAGCTGGAAAAAAGGAGGATCGCTCGGGATTATTGACGGTACAGCTGAGGCCTGGCAACACTGCTAAATTGTTACCTGATTTTGGACCTTATTTGCCTACGTGATTAAAAGTCCTGAAACACCTCGGAATGTAACAAGCATCCTTCACTTGGCTTTGAACGATATATATATATATAATATGCTTGGCTTCCACCAAAGTTTGCAAAATTAAAAACACAGTTATTGTAACTTAAGCTCCTCTCTCCTTTGGAACACATTTTGCAATAAGGTTGCCTCTCTCCATGTATATTTATGTATAATAAAGACTACACTTAGTTCCATATTGGTGATTGCTGTCAAGGCACTCAAAAGGATATAGAGATGTATTTGTCAAGATTCCTGTCTCTCCATGCCCTATGGGTTACTGTGTCTTCGGTAATGCAACATTATCCTTCAGTTTGGGGACATTATGATGTGTGCAAAACACAGATTTATATGGATGAAGACAAGATTTGGGATTATACTGCCTGTCAGCCTGAAGCCATAGATATGATGAAACACGTAAAAGTAAACCTGGATCCACCTAATATAACATGTGGAAACCCACCAGAGACCTTCTGCGGAATGGTAAGGAAAAAAGTATAAATCTTATTTTTAAGCATAGAGCATAGATCTCTCAGAGAAACAGAATTATGTCTGTCTCCTGCATCAAGACCAACATCTTTAGTTTAGGAGTGGCTGGCATTGTTTGTTATGGGACTAAAAAATGTCTGGCAGAGAGGAATTTACTAGAAGCTTTTAAAGCTGAAGGGTAAAGTAGTCCATTTTGGTCTACTTGAATGAAGCAAAGTGTTCTTGAATTGTTGCTATTCCTTTACTGCTTTTTTTAGGCTTCAGGACCACAGACAGCTCTGAAATTACTGCATCTATTAATAAGAACGCCCACAAAGGTTATTATTAAATTTTAACTTTCAATCATTTGCCCCTATAATAATCCTACAAAGTGTACGTAACTAATCGACTTAATTTTACTTACATTTAACTTAAATCTGTTTAGTTTGTGTTGTGGCCTATATAATTTTTGAAGTTTTGATTTGGCTCAAAAAGCATTGCTGTTAGATTGGATGGTAAATTTGTTTTGGTATGTTTAGCTTTTTAAAGATTAAGAGGTAAATGATTGTTGGATTTCAGTACTGTGCCATGTAATATTTTATATTAAGACCATGGCTTCTGCAGGATTTGTGTGGCTCTTAGGAAAATAATCCAGCAACATGTAGCTATAACAGTTGGGTTTTTCAGAGCTGATTAAAATGTACATTTTTTACTAAATATACAGTATTTGATTATGTGCTTCTGCAAGTGCTATTATTTTTCTTTTAACTGCAAGATATGAAATATACTTCTCTGACATATGCTGAAAATTGCATATTGAATGGAGGATGGCTCTCTAATTAGGGTGATTCTTCTGAAAGGATAAATAGGGACAAAAATGACAGATTTAGTCAAAAGGCCTGTGCACTGTCCAGCATTCATATCTTGTCAAACCGCGATGGACAACTCCAATTGAAACCAGTCCTAAAGATTTCAACTCCTCACAAAAAAATAGCATTTCATACACATATTGTATGTGTGCATTTTTGTATTTGTGCTTTATACAACTTGTAGAAGCTATTCAAAGAACAAGACTAAGACCATGTCACCCACATTCCCCCTCCATCTCTATTTAAAATGAATAGTGTTCAAAATTAGGTGACCTTCTATAGAGAAGAACCATTCTCGCACGAATAACCAACAAGTCGTTCTTGCACACAGAAACGTACAAATTTACCCACACATTTCCATTCCCTCCTTCTAGCAGCAATAGAAGAAAAAGAAGAAACTTCAGGATGGTGATAGTGTGAGGAGGAGAATTTTCACTGGGAAGGAAAGAAAAGAGAAAGCCATGAACAAAACTGGATAGAAAAGAAGTCAAGGGCAGAAATAGCTAGAGGGGGAAAGCCTGTCTTTTTGACATTATAAAAAGGGTAAACATTCAGTGGCAGCAGGGGTGAGACTCACATCTCCAAGTTACTGATTTTGGAACACATTTTAGTAACTAAATCTGTGGTCTTTTGTACCTGCTGCCCATTCATGTTCTTTCAACAAGTTTTCAGTTCTTGCTAGACCAAAGAAGAACCCAACGGGATTATTAGGGTTTGGGCATCCTCCTTTCTGGGTAGGTAGGATAATCTAGTGATTTAAAATAACCATCACTTTCATTTGAGACTTATGACTTGACATCTGCAAAATTATTCTTGTTTAAGAGACCGGGCTCTCAAGATTCAAAAGCTAAAAGAAAGAGGGGAGATGTAATCCAGATGCGTTGTCTAATTTATATGCAACCAGCATTTCAGCTGGTGGTCATTTAACATCTGCCATGTTGAAGCAGATAATAATTAATTTTATAAACTATTTACATAAGGACTCTGTCTGTACACTTTGTAAACCAATTTGCTGTTAAACCACCAGTACCCCCAAAATCTTAGGATAAAAGCAGAGGAAATTGACAGAATAAGGAACGGAATTGCATAGGTTAATGCTGTAATGTTCGCATCATTTGATTACTCATAACATGTTGTGCATCAATTTTGACTCAACCTATATGCTGTCATGTTCTGAGAGCAGAGAAGCAAACTTCAGTCAGAAGCCTCGTTGAGATGAGTAAGATTTCCGCAAGAGTGATCCTAGACACAGTACTTACTCATTTCACTTGGAATAGGCAGCAAAACATCCTACTTGTAGTCATCTGTGAGCCACTATAATTTAAATTATGGCATACACTTATGACATGTGAAGTAAACTTTTTCTGGAGAACCGTTGGAATTTGCATTTTTGTACAAAGACTAGTTCATAAGTAGAACATAATGCTTTGCAGATCTCTAGGTTGAAAAGCAATCAGCCGGTGTCAGTAATAATGATCTATGTAAAATTGCAATCTGATTTGGTATAAGGAAACTTCATCCAGACTATTTGATCTGATAGAAAGGAATGTGATCTATTTAATTTTGGGCACCTGAAGTTTTTAGGAATAGTTTCATACCGGGAATGAAAGACGAACATGGAACTTTCACAAGATTTTTTTTTAATAACATAAGGTGTTCCAAATCACATAAATTAAACAATTTAGATATGAAAGATTGCATTTGCTTTAAAATATGCCTGGGATCCTTCTGATAGGTTGCCTCCTTCATTAGGGTCTTTGGTGCCTGTGGCTTCAAAAAGCAGAATTGTATTACTCCCAAGTCGCACCTCAGCAGGAAGAGTGAACTGGGGTCATTAATATAACATGTGTTGAGACTGGCATCTCTTTGAGTCTCGAGTTGCCAATTAAAAATTAGAATGCAGTGGCTCTAAAAAGTGTGAAATGTGTGAATTGCAATCTTCATTTATGATCTTGTGGTATATTTCATTATGCCCGTGACAAAGAGGTTAGGGAATTCATTCAGCAAATATTGCCTGTAAAGGCAAGTACTGTAGCAAGATCCCTACTGTGTTGGCTAGTCAGCTATATTATTTAAGAAGAGAAATTTTGTGCTCAAAGTTCTCTTGAGTTTTGTTTATATTTATAAGCTAGGGTGATACATACAGGTAAGTTTTCACTAAATGTGATCATTCTAGCCCATAGCTAGATTTAGCTAGTACTTCTATCTGCTTTTCAGGAAAACAGACAGAATCCTAACCAGGTTCCTGCAAGAGTGGGCTAGTTAGACTAGTTAGTTATACTAGTTAGACTTAATCTTCTAGGACAGACATGTTAAACACAAGGCCCGGGGGCCAGATGCGGCCCGCGAAGTGGTTTCATGTGGCCCGCGAAGCTGTCCTGGAAACAGTGAGGGAATGGCCCCCCGCTGCCTTGGGCCTGGCCCAGGCCAGCCGGGAGCCAAGGTACAATTTTGTGGTGGCCATCTTGGCACTTGCCCCAGTGGACCATACCTTGGCACTTGCCCCGCTCCCACCCCTTTCTGCCAGAGACCCTCAGATCTGTCCCACTCCTGCCCAGGCCCCCACAGGCCCCCTTGACGTGAACAATGTAGAGCTGGCCATGCCCACCCAGTAGGCCACACCCACTCCATCCACACCCACCCAGTAGGCCGCACCTACCCTGGCCACACCCACCTGGCCCCCCAAGGGCAACCGCAATGCTGATGCGGCCCTCAATGAAATTGAGTTTGACACCCCTGTTCTAAGATAATGCAAAGTATGAGGCAAATGTTGAAAGCCCAAATATATTGATTTGATAAAGACTGGAATTAAAATAAAATATGCTACTCAACCAAAGCTCTGCTAATTTAAGATCCTAATGGATCCTACTGATTCTAGATCTTCAAATAAAAAAAAATGTAGATGGGGGAACTTTAACCATATGCAGTATACCGTATATAGACTGTTGGTGTTTGCATATATGGAAATTTTTGTTGTTTTCTGAGATACTTCTCTGAAAGGAAAGATACTGTAAAGAAGGGGCTGGGAGTTCAGCAGAGATAAAGAATAAAGTGCTACTATCTGCAAGCTGTTAACTTGTAATTCACAAAAAGCCGAAGACTGAAATAATGACATATAAAAAAGAAAAACTGCTGCTCCAACAAAACCTTGGCTATCATAAAGCGGTGCAGCAAGGCAACTTGCAATAGTTTCATTATCCCTTTTGTTCCAGAAAAGTTCATATGGAGAATGTGAAGGCACCTGTAGATGGACATATATGTTTGTGTGGCTCTCGGAGCAGAAGTGCTAAGGATGGCAAGGCTTTTCAAGTGCCACTGTGGATTTCACAGCCAATCCAAACTAAATTAAGAAACAAAGGTTATTAAAAAGAAAGTGAAAGTCTTCCCGTATGTAATTTTGGCAAATTGTTATGAGCTGAACCTTCAATGTTTTCCTTAGAGATTTTCAGCATCATTAATACTGTGTGGCTTTCATTACCAGTACATATTCATTTGCTGAGAAGAAAATTAGGAAGTAAAGGACTATCTGGTATCATGATGATGTTTACTGAAATAATTAAACTGTCAGATACCTTTCAACAGACTAGTTTAGAAGGCAAAATGAAAATTATTTGCAAATACCTTAATAATACATGCATGTCTTCTGCAGAACAACGATATCAATACAGTGCTGCTGTGGCAATATCATGAACAAATCTACTCTGGGAGGCTGCTAGCTGATAATTTTTCACAAAGAGGAAAATAACCAATTCAGATGCCGCACCTCCCATTTTCTTTATAAAAGCTCTTTGAAGTGTGAGCTGCCTTTTATGTTTTTGTGAATGAAAGTCATAGAACTTCTAAGTATTGTATCAACATTATATAAATGGCCGATTTATTTGTTGTTGTTTTTTTTTGAGGTTGTTTTCTGATCTAATTTATTTGTTGGTTTATTTCACAAGTTTGTAGGGTCACCTATCTTAACCAAGCAAGTAAAGAAAGAAAATACATGGATAAAATAGCACAATTTAAAAGTCAGAAGGAAACACAGATTTGTGTTGTTGTTTTTTTTTAAATTAAGGTTCCTTGTAAAACTAGCACAACGCAGAAAGGATATACATACCAGAACTGCCCTAGTGTGTTGTTTTGCTTTTTTTTATAGTCAAA